TACAAATCCAGGATAGTTTAAGAAAGTTATTAAAAATTTTAAAACTTTAACCACAGTGTGAATGTAATGTTAACTGGAAGAAAAACTAAGTCCATTTATAAGAAAAATACGGATAAAGAGGATTTTTTTTTTAAATTTACTTCCGGATACTATCTTATGATCATAAACAAGCTTCTGTCCAAGTTTGGTACAAATCCAGGATATTTTAAGAAAGTTATTATGCCGCAATCTGTATTGATAATAAATTAGAGAAAAATATAAACACTGCACTTACAAATGCCTATAATGATCTAGTTTATTTTCAGGCCCCTTTGAGAATTAATTTTAATTCAGATAAATGCAATGAAATCTAAAAGATAAATTGTGTAAATTTAGCACGCGAATCTAAACCAGATTATATCCAGCATTATCAAATTTACGTAAAAATCTTCGTTTTGTAGATATTAATATAAGATTCAAATGTCCTCAATTATGAAAAAATAAACTTTATTTTACTGTATGATATAATTAGACATTCAAAAACAGGTGCCTTGATTACGTTACGTGATTTACATCAACGTTTTCTTATTATGACGTTTACCGCCACAAGCCTGGAAATGTCATGGCGGGTCACATATATGGAACAAACAAACAAAAATAATTAAAAAGGAGGTATACGGTGAAGGTAAAATAATTTCTAATCTATGTACAACTTTCGAAAAGCTGATAACAGTATTTGCTTTTTAAAATGAAGGAATTCGAGATATATAGGTATTGAATTTTACCTGAAGCAGAAAAAAAAACACTTTATAATTTTAACAATTTATCCTTTTTGTCCTCATAAAACTATCTCGGTGCTATTTCATTCCATCTGTTGAAATAACTATTGAATAGGTTTTATATCCCTTATATCAAACTTGTAAACACTTAAGATTTGATTATTACAATGGGCAAATATAATTGTGTAAAGTCACTCGAAGGTGTGCTTATGTTCTAAATTGGTCAGACAATACTTGGCCATGTTTTACGAACATTTAAAACCCTCGGCCACGCCACATAAAACATGACTAATCATTGTCTAACCTACAAGTAATAAATGCAAATGACTGATATACTTTATAATACATAACTAATGAAAAATTATATATGTATCATGACAACAAATTATCAACGTAAAAAGAAGAAAGCTGGGCAAAAGATGGATACTCTATTGCAGTATGGGGCACTGTGTCTCTCTTTTTGGTTAATTTACTTTGGGAAGCTAACTCAGATGTCTACCTATTATGTTTTAGGTCCCTACTGAAACTTTTTCCCCTGTTATAAAGTTAGGGTTATTTTGACATACCATCTAGTTTTTAGAAATTATAGCATCATATCCTTAACACATCTTTAAGAGAATAATTTATATAGACATTACCATATTGTTTAAAAGCCTAGAAGGGAGAACCCTTATAAAAATTAAGGACTTATTTACTACCACTTTCATTATTTTTTTTTTTTTTTATATATATTTTATAAATAGATATTTATATTTTATTATTATTTCAAAGAACCCTATGTAAGAATTGGTGAAAAGCTATGATCATCTGGACATCTCAGGTCTAACAGTGCTGAGGGGTCTTTTTGGCTGTGTGGGATGTATACAATTGGGATCTAAAATCTAATTCCCTCTTTGTACATAAAAGAATCCATTATGGACTTCTCCCTTTTCAAATTTACCTTGACGTTTGGTTTCTCTTGTTGATACTTTCTTGCAAATAACCCTCTAATGGTTGGGACGACTATTATATATTCTCAGCTGTTTGGACCTTATGTGACATATTGCATTTGTATATTTCTGTTACAATCCAACATAACAGCTTTTTCCAGTGGAATTCACTCTTTCCCAACCATCCTTTCATTCTCGAAACATACAAAATAAAAGTATTCTCATCCTGAATATAAATGAAATATGAAATACTTGCCACTGGACATTAAAACAAGACCAATACCAGGTTTGGACCTAGTCGCTGTATGCAATTGAGGTAAAATGTATAATATTATTTCGGTATTTCAATTAAAGACACTGTCAGATTTTTTTATATCTTCTTTTTTTTAGAAACGTTTGAAATTCAATAATTTTGACTAGAATGTTATGGGAAATCTTCAAGTGTGTAGCATATTTTTAATATGCCATTAATAATAATTGGCTTAATAATTTTAGCAGAAAGAGGCATTAAAAATGCCCTTTCTCAACAACAACGAAAATAAATAACTAATTTTTATCTAAATTGGTGTTCATTCTTCATTAAGGAAAAAATACTTTTCCTGTTTTCAAATATACATGTACAAATTCCTAATGCTGAGATAATTCCAATTCCTGTTAAATAGCAATATAATGGGGAATATACAAATAAATTTATTGCAGAAAATGCTTAGGTAAGAGTTATGCAATTGTGTTTATTGTTTTAACCAAATTGCTGACAATTGTAACTTAAATAGACCTTAATTATTAATTTATGTCAGATGATTATGACACTGATTTTACAAGTGAAATAAAATCTGATTGCATTTTCATACATATTCTATTTTTAGTCTTTTCTTTGAAAAAAAACTCATATCTTATCTATAATCAGTCAGCTTTCACACAAAATTAACAGAATAATTCTATGTAGTGTTGATCAAAATAAATAATAGGTACACTATTGAGGTCAAGATTTTGTGTATTCAATTAGATGTGTAATAAATTGAATACACACATTTTTGACCTCACTACATGTATCAGTATGATTTTCAACTGTCATGATATATTAACTGTGGTCAATTAAGACTGCATTTGAGTTGAGTTAAATCCAATTAATAATTACACCTTTGAATGTAATTGTTTTGTAAATTGTGACAGTTGGAATTGTCTATCATACTGGTATTGTATCAATACTCTTATTTGCCTAATGAAAGAATGGGCAAACAGTATGGGAATCAACTCAGATATCTATACACATCTTGAACAAAATTTTATTCAATGGCTTACAGGAACATGATACTGATAAAACACTCAGTATTCTTATCAACTTCTAAATTTGATATATCACATTTTCCACATTAATTAATAAATTGCAATTTAATATAAATTTTGATTTACAAAGGAACTATATGCAAGTGTATATCTAAAATAAAGAAGTTGTTCACCCAAAGTTTTTTCAATTTAAGGACAAATAATGCATTAAAAGTTGGCAGTTGATTAAAATGGTGTATAAAGTTTCTGCAAGTCATAGAAACACATAATTATTTCCATATGTCTTCAAATTAGAATTTTGCATCATCTCCAAATCCTGAGTGATCACATAGATCCAGCATGGCTGAATCAACAAAAATTAATCAATCAATCAATCAAATGACATATTTCATGAAATACTAATACATTTGATAGGATTAACCAATGTTTGTATTAAATTGATTCTAATATCTATCGGAGGCCAACAACCCAGGATAGATGACAGCCTCAGCCAATTGCATTCATTTCATCATACATAAGCATATCACATTCTGTACTGTAGATTATATGGAAGAATGGCCATTCATTAAAGCATGTCTTATGTGTGCTTAAATTGCCAAAGCCTGCAACCTTTGTTCTAAATTATAACACTTCTACGTAACTATTGTGGAAGAGATATTTTGTCCTTTTCAACCTTCACAAACATTTGTCAACACAAAATCTACAGCTTACATAGGAACTCAGTAAAACTTGTCAGAATTATTTCATATGATGTATAGTAGCCCAGCTCTAACTTCACTGTTTTGCAAAATACATTTTGTACATGGAGTCATGTAATTTCATGTGCAGTTGTTCATTTTCTATTTTCTTCTTTGTCAAGATTGATATTTTTTATTTCAAATAGCAACTCATGGACTTTGGCATTTCAGCATATACATGTAGTAAGTTTGTAAAGGAAATATCTCTTACAATTTACATTGGATGAATAGGAATGAATGCATGACAGAACTGCTTCATTACATTGAAATATGTGCAGATTGGTGGATTTTTTGGAAAAATTTAATACATGTATCTTTTATAACTTTGACAGGTAGACATGAGGACAAACCTGAATTGGAACATAAGGCTACCTTGGGCAACACAAAAAATATTCAAATTTATTTTTCAAATGTTTATTTTTGAGATAGAGTAACAAAGCATCATTGAATTCAGAAAGTGTTATCATCATACACAAGTAATATCTTATATAGGTAATAAATAATAAATATACAGTGTTAGGATTCCTTAAGTCATTAAGATGAAATGATATGAATTACTGAAGAATGAAAAAAAAGAAATTTTTACAAGTGGAATCACTTGAAATAAAAATAAAATTTAAATTGTAAGATGTCATCTAAACAAATAACAGAAAGTAAGAAGATTAAAGAAATAAACACTTTTACTATGTTAATTATATCACAGTACATTTCATTGTCTTCTGATCAAGGCACCATTTGTATCTTTTAAAATCTAAAATAAACCCAGATCAACCATGTCTATTTTTAATTCATGAACATCTGTTATGGATTAACTTAGGGCTGTTCCATTTATTAAAACAAACATGGTACCCAGTGAAGTCATATTCAAAATAGGGGAACAATCAAGAGGCAAATTAGAATTACTCTTACATTTTCAATGAACTTAGGATTTGAATCCCACCCTAGTGGAGATTTCAATCCTGGGTTGCATGTATGTTTTTATGGAAGAGCCCTCAAATATATCAATACATTACTTATTTCTGGCAGTTAAATGAAAACATTGATTGCAGTCCTCCCATCCTTGCAGGAGGTAAATTCTAATAACTTTACCAAAAACTTCATAAATTTTAAATGCACAATGAAATTAAGACAAAAAATAAACCCCCGCATTTTCAATCTGCACAGTATACATGAATATATAAATAAGAAACAAAGCGAAAATTGACATGCATTTCACACATCTTCATTTAATTTAACCCTCTACATCTACACACATAACATATTTCGTCTTTGATCATTCATGCATGTACTAGCCACATAAACTATCATTTCTTGTTTCTCACTCATTCTTTCCCTCCTACATTCTTCTGATCAAGCAAACAACATGCTACCTATACACACACGCCAGCGCAACATTTGCATGGAGAGATTTACATGATCCCTAGAAAAAACTTGTACATTCGATTGGCATAAGCATATACTGTGGATTCTGACATTTATTTTTGTTGATACCAATTTTTGTGGAAAGAGGAAAATGTCATTTTCGTGGATATTCAATTTTTGTTTTTGGTTTTGCCAGTCTGCATACATACCTATAGAAATTTGTAATTTGCTAAACATTTTAATGTGTGGTTCCTCTGTACCCAGGAAGTACATAAAAATTGGTATCCAACGAATAATTATGAATCCACAATAACTGAAATGTATCTGTGAAAAGTTTGAACTGATTAAATTAAAATAGATAATTATTCAACCAATCCGGGGTGTAAATCTCTTAATTTATCATGTTTACCTTTTATTCAAGATCAAGAATTTATTGTTCTTCAAAGTTTGAATTAATATAAATAAACTTTCCTACTTTATAATTTTAACAAATTTCTTTATGTGCCAAATTGATGCAATTATTATAGTTTTAACATTTATGAGTGTTCTTCTCACTAGTGAAATTTTTTTGTAGACAGCAAGTACATTATAAACACCACAAATTATGATTATGAATAAAAAAACATAAAATTTCATGTCAAGAAAGATAACCTTCAAGTATAAAATCTTCACACAAACTCAATCAGAATTCACCATGCAAATGTAGCATCTGTCAACTTCAAATTCCGCACAAAATATTGTTGCCTCAAGCAAACACAAAAAATCTCTCAAATCTAACTTATCATACACTGTTTCACCCTCACTGATGATATATCCATGATTCTTATATAAATTTATTAATCCACACCTTTTATCCTCCCTTCTGATTTTACCTCTACAATATTGGACAAAAATAAAGACATTGTATTCCATATTATACGAAATTTAAATTAAATGGATGTCTTTTTTGCTGAAATATATGAAACCTAAATCATATCTCTGCATCACCAACAAATATCAAATGAATGTGGATGGACCAGTCCTTTATTGCAGTTGCACACATAATATAATCACAACTTTTTTCTTTACCAATTCAACACAACTGATCCAGGACGCATAATGGGAGAGTCCCAGTGTGCTGAACTTGTACGTTTGTTAAATCTGGCCTTTTTCTTAACAAAAAGTTCATTGAGGTCTGGAGGTGATATTTCATCAAACATGCTCTCTAAATCTGGAGGATGGTAATGTTGGTTTATCAGAGCAGCCTTTAAGTTTGGACCTAGAAATAATAATAAAACTTCATTAAACTTTCCCTATTAAAAAGCTACAAATTCAACAAGTGTTAATCTGATATTTCAAACGTTTTTAATATTGTGAAAATTGTAACGGGATAGATCTCGCAAAAATAAAAATTTGCCATTTTAAAATTTCATACCTTTATCTGTACACAGACTCGAGGTCAATCTATATTAATGATGCAATAGAAAATTCAAATCTTACTGTAATGTAGCAACATAAACATTGTGACATCGGAAATTTACAGGAAAACGCATGATTATGAAAGTCATCTACTGGTCCTATTTGCTACTCTGTAGACTCAGGTGACAATGTAATAAGATTGTCATTTTCCCTTTGAAATCTTATGCCTCTTTTTTATTATTTAAAGAAAATGTTGAGTTCTTACCATAACACATGTGAAAAGGGGAAAATAAGGTAATTTTTTTATAATTTTTCATCAATTTATTTCTAATACCTGAAGCCCATGGAGGAATCCTTTTCTTTGGAGCATCTTCATCATCTGTTGAGTCATCAGATTTCAACCCTGATATGTCATATGTTTCAAAAGTACTGGGTTTGTATGTTTTAGCTGGAGTCATATCATATCTGCAAAATAAAAGATATCATGAGAATAATAATTTATACATAGCCCATTACATCTTGCTGGTCTGAATTTTCATCAAGTAGTAAACAAAATAACTTCATTTATTTGTTAAAGACTTTTAAGAGCTGTTCCATCAAAACATACAAGGAACCCTGGGAAGGCACTCTGATATAAACCGATTATCAGGTTGTCTGCCTAATGATATTGTAAAATATCAGCTGCGAGTCACAATATGGAGCTTTTTGTTGAGTGAGCACAACGAACAAGTTTAAATAGGCTTCATATTGTGTCGAGCTGCTGACATTTTACAAAATAAATAGGCAGGCAACCAGATAATCACTTTATCGGGTTGTATTTTCGTATTTTGCATGATAGAAACAAGTGTTTAATTTGTTTCACCAGCAAACCGGAAGATGATGTGATTGGTTAGGGTCAAACTTATCAATGTCGGTTCATTCATTATGACATCTGTGATATGTCCGGGCCAAAGTTATCAAGGCCGGATCGACGTATTTGACATCACAAAGCCATGATATGCAATTTTATTAAGAGCTGAGCAGAGTGATACACAGAAAGTGGGACAACCGATAATGCAATATATGGGTGGGACTAAAATACTTTTTTGTATGTTTGTACAGCAAATATCTATTGGAAATTCTAAAAATTGCATTTACAGGTGCTTACACTATGTTCAAATTGCTTTCCATGTGTACCATGTATGCTTTGATGTGATAGCCCTAACCAGTGATTTACTTTTTCAACCATCAAACAATATACTTTACCATTGAACATATTTCAAATCGGTAATTACACATGTACAGTACAAATTTCGCGAAAGGCTTCCCAAACTCCGAACACCAAGTTTTTTCTTGGTGTGACACCAGGAAACTCCGACATCCCTCCCTAAATTCTCGGAGAAATTTGAGAGTATTCCCTCCGACTTCCGCGTAAATTCGCTACCTTTTGTTTATTGTATTAGCGACATCACTCCCAGTCCGGTGTGACGCGGTGTCACACCAGGTAATTAATTGCCCTAATCCTTCTGATCTATACCGGCACGCGACAGTCAAGGTATGTGAGATTACTTATGTAATTAATCAATTGTATTTCCTGTCTATTGATAATCAGGTTATATTTCTGATTGCTTGAAACAAATAAAAGATTTAAAAGCAAAACGTTGTTGTTAATTCTTTCAATTTCACTGTACATTTAAAAATAGTTTTACTAAAAAAAAACTATATTTGATTTTTACCTCGTTTTTTTCTGGTCAGTAAATTAATATTTAATTTACAAAAGAGATATACTTGTGTTAAAATAAATGGAGACTTACGCTGAATAAATGTGGGCAGTTTAAAGGAAAATTACATGTCTCAAAGTTTTGTATACAAGTAAAAAAGAAAATATTATTCACTATTCGTTATGCTAATAAGTCCACGCCATTTTCATTTTACGATTACATAATTGCTTGAAACAAATTAAAGATTTAAAAGCAGAATGTTGTTGTTAATTCTTTCAAATTGCATTAAAGTTTTATAACAAAAACTATACTTGATTTTGACCTTGTTTAAGTTCATCGGTAAATTATTTTATTTATGAAAAGAGACATACTTGCGTAAAAATAAACGGAAACTAACACTGAATATAAAAGTGAGCTTTCAAAGAAAATTACGTGTCTCAAAATTTGTATATGCAAGTAAAAAAGAAAATACTATTCACCATTCGTTATGCTTAATACATGTAAGTCTACGGCATTTTCTCTTTACGATTTGTTGGCATTACTTTAGGATAAATAATTACATTTCGGCTACAACAGGAATACTTCTATAGCTGCATCAACTCGTCGTTGCATAATATTCATTTATGCACAATGAATGTAAACTTGTGTGTTGTATAAAGGACAGTGATTTTTAAATTTTTTAAAATAAATTAATTGCCGTGGGAAGACGATACACATCTCAGTGATCAACAGTCTGTGGTTGAACTTTGAACTTGACTTCGCTCACAATATTGAATGCTAATAATAGTGACATCAATTTTGTCCAGGAGATATTTATTTGGCGGGAAATATTATCATGTAACAGTAAACTCAGGTGCCCTTTCTGGATGACCGTGGGAAAATTCATTCGGGGTTTAAATTTGCTGTTGAATGATTGACATTTGTATGCCTTAAGATTGAGGCTCAAGAAGGTCCTTTTACAATTGATTAACCGGAATCTAAAATATAATCCTTTTCTGAATAAACGAACACCAGCCTTTTAATTTTACGTTTCTCAGTCAACACAGGACATAAATTATGGACATTATTTATACGTCCATGGTCAACAATAAACATAAATGGTAGATGAAATTAGGATGCATGTCGTTCAGTTCCTGTTGGGCGTTGGTAGAGATCCTCTGTGAAAATGTGTAGATCGTAAAAATCCGATCCACATTTTTTTCACATATTTCTTTCTTGTAGAACACGATATAATTTCATTTAAATATTCTATAGTATTAATTGTTGAAATACTTCTTTTTTAAATTTCGCCAAGGACTTTTAACGAGCAGTAAAATACGGATTGCGCCCATCCAATTTTATTTTAAATAATAAAGGATCAATAACAGATCATAACAGAGATAAACAACACATGATTTTTTTTCTTCATATAATTAAATAAGGTTGTGATTATTGTGTTGTGTCTGGGCGGGGAATGTCTCTCAGTGTTGTGTTTTTATGAATATAGGGCACATTGCATACAAAACGTTTTCCCCTCGTTCAACCGAGTTGTCACTTTACAGTTTCTTTTCTGAGTTCAAATATTTCAAGTCGGTAATCTACCGAGGTAGTGAAACATAATATTTTACATTGCAAAATAAATTGAAAGTAACAGAGTTCACTTGTTGATCCGATAAATTAACTCTTGGGTTTAGATTGGACAAATTACCGTAAAAACATCATTTTGTTTTAAGCCAGTTGTTATTCATATATTGAAAATTAATGAACCGGATATTGCTCACTGAGTAGGTCATAAAAGATTCTAATTGTAGTAAAATCGTCTTTGTTGAAAAAACAAAAATTATGACCTGACCGGACTATAATAAAAATACAAAATAAGTGTTTTCAAATTAAACAATAGTATTCTTAAAGACGAATCATACAAAATGAAAATAAACACTTTAATAGATAAATATGAAAAATTAAGAGACCGAAAAGGTTTAGCAATCGTGTGGGATCTGTTTAAAATAGAGGTTAAGGAGACGACTATTGAACATTGTAAAATCAAAGCTAAAAATAAAAGAGATGAAATTAAAGAATTAGAACAAGAACTTAAACTTTTGAATGAAATTCAGGATAATGTCCTTGATGAAAAGAAAAATAATAACATAATAGATTCAATAAAGAAAACAGAAGAAATGTTACAAACTCTATATTCTGATAAAATAAAAGGGGCACAAATAAGATCAAGAGTTAAATGGGTAGAAGAAGGCGAAAAAAATACAAAATATTTTTTGGGATTAGAGAAATCGAGACAGACAAGAAAAAATATTACTGCGATTAGGGACAGTGAAGGGGAAATAACTGAGGATCAAGGTAAAATATTAGAAACGGGGAGGAATTATTATGTAAATTTATATACGTCAACTAAGCCAGATTTGGAAGACATTGAGAATTATATTGAAAATACAAAAATAAACAGCAAACTAACTACACACGAAAGTAATGAAATTGAAGGAAAGCTGACAATAGAGGAATGTACAAATTCTGTTTTTAAAATGAAACTTAACAAAACACCGGGTATTGATGGTCTTCCAATTGAATTTTATAGATCTTTCTGGTCCAACTTACAATATTTTGCTGTAGATGTCTTTAACCATTGTTATGAGAAAAAAGAATTAACAAATTCACAGAAACTAGGATTAATTACCCTTATTTACAAGAAAAATGACCCGTTAAATTTAGACAATTATAGACCAATTACTTTATTAAATGTAGATACCAAAATTATAGCATATTCTCTTGCACAAAGACTTAAACCAGTATTGCATAAAATCATTCACAGTGATCAAAACGGGTATGTAAAAAACAGATATATTGGGTTTAATATTAGACAAATCCAAGATATTATAGACTATTCAGAAAAATTCAACGTAGACGGGGCTATTCTTTTTTTAGATTTTTCAAAGGCATTTGACTCGTTAGAATGGGAATTTATGTATTGTTCATTAAAGAAATTTGGCTTTCAGAAATCTTTATTGAAGTGGATAAATACTTTATATACAGATATAAAGGGTTGTATATTAAATAATGGGTGGATTTCAAGACCCTTCAGCATTGAGCGCGGGATCCGTCAAGGGTGTCCCGCGAGTTCTATAATCTTCGTTATTGCTGTTGAAATTTTAGCCTGTAGATTAAGACAAGATAAAAAATTTAAAGGTTTTCAAATCAAACTAGATAATAAAACCCATACTCTAAAGTTAAGCCAGCTTGCAGATGACACCACTTTATTTTTAAATTCAAAACAAGAAATTTCATTAACTTTGAATATTATCGAAATTTTCGGATCACTTTCAGGCCTAAAGCTTAATCGAAATAAAACAGAGGGGATATGGCTCGGAAATTTAAAATCTTGTAAAGATAAAGTTGAAAACATTAAGTGGACACAAGGACCGATAAAAGTATTAGGAATATATTTTGGACTTAATAAAAATGAGTGTAAAAAATTAAACTTGCAAAGACAATACGAAAAATCGGAAAAAATAATTAAAGATTGGAATAAAAGAAAATTAACTATGTTAGGTAAAATAACTCTTGTTAAATCACTAATCCTACCAAATATAACCTATGTTGCATCAGTAACAGATATTGATAAAGAATATCTCGCAAAATTTAAAAAAATAATATATAGTTTTATATGGAATAATAAACCAGAAAAAATTAAAAGAGCTATAATAAGTAAAAATTATCTTGCCGGCGGACTTAAAATGATAGACATAGATAAATATATAGAATCCATAAATATTAATTGGGTAAAAAGACTCATTGATAATGAAGACTCATCACCCAATTGGAAAGTCTTACCAAAATTTTACTTAGACAAGTTTGGACAAGAATTCCTTATATTTAAAATGGACTTTAACAATATTAATCTAATCAATAAACTAAAAGAAATTGTTCCAGAATTTTACTTAAAAATAATTATATCATGGATAAACTCAAAATCTGAAAAAGAATCAAATCGACTAACATATAAGCATATCAGACAGCAACTAATATGGGGCAATAAGCATATCAAATTAAATGGTAAATGTCTTATTTTCAAAAATTGGATAAACAGCAAAATTTTATTTGTAAATGACATAATTGATGATAAAGGAAAAATTAATCAAAATAAGATTTTGGATAAACTATCTTGCCATGCTAATTGGTTTTCGGAATATTCTAAATTGATGAAAGCAATACCAAAACAGTGGTTACAAGAGCTCATAAAAGAAGAGTCAATCAAAACAAAAGTTGCTACCGACTCCGAATTTAAATTCAAAGATAGAGAAGGAAAAATGGTACCAATAAAAATATTTTCCTCGAAAGATATCTACATCTCGCTTTTAAATAGATATTATGAGAAAGCAATAGGATTTCAAAAATGGGACAGAATTCTAAATTTAGATAACAATACAAGGAAAAGAGAACAAATGTTGTACTTCATCTTTAACTATATCCAAGATAATAAATTGAGAATGTTAAGATGGAAATTTCTACATTACATTTTACCAACCAAACAATTACTTTTCTCTTGGAAAATAACTAAAACTCCTCTATGTAATATATGTAATGTCATTGAAGATTATGATCATTACTTTCTGACATGCAAATATCTAAAATCATTTTGGGATCAAATAAAACTAATACTAGACAAACTTAAAATAGGACATCATATAATATCACTGGCATCACTTTTGTATGGATATAAGATAAACGATACAAATTATTACAATATCAACGATTTTCTAACAATCGTACTTTTTACTATATATAAAGTGTATTACATATCCGAGCAGAAAACAAAACAAATTAATGTGTTTGAAATTTTTAAAGGTATACTTTTCCAACATTACGAAATATTGACAAATAAACAAGGCAAATATAAAAACTTCTACAATTTGGTTGCAGAAAAAATTAATTTATCTTCTTAACTAAGATTTATAATATATCATAGTAATTTCTTTTTATCCTGTTATACATTATTTATTAGCAAAATTGTATGTTGTGTACTAACAAGTACTAACCTTATGAAATGCTATATACTAACGTCAACGAGACCGGGATAAGGTACCGGTACTTTATGTATCTCTAACAAATGTACATTTCAAATAAAATTATACACTGAAAAAAAAAAAAAAAAAAAAAAAAAAAAAAAAAAAAAAAAAAAAAAAAAAAATAAGTGTTTTATTCGTATTTTTATACGTTTGTACGTTTTATTTCAAATGACAATGACATGGGGCAAATACATACAAGAATAATTATCTTATTTTGAATGAAAATGTCACATTTTTATCTGTCAAAGAAAGGAAATTTTAATACCGTGTTTTAAAGCACACAGGTGCAATCAAGATCGATTAAATGTACAAAGGTAATTAATCTGGCTAATTCCGATTATGTTGTCATGCGTCATTAATTTTCAGTACATCCGATGGGCAATAAACCAATTAACAGCCACACAGTGTTGGGAGAGAATCTTTGGAGGAAATTGGGAGTATAATCCGTGATTCGCGGTGTGACACCGCTACACTCCGAAATCCGTGATAAGAGTTCGCGATTACAAACTCTATGTGCGTACTGTATGACAATATGAAATTTGGTTGATTTTGCAAAAAGTTGTGCAACACAATTTCAGATTATAGTTAAATGTCCTATCCTACATTTTCTATATAATTGAAAATTCAAAATCAAATGCATTTTTTTTATGTTAATCATATACAATTTACAATAATGCAAAAATTAGTAAATGCAATTTCTTAAAGAATAATAGTACTCATCATTCTAATAGTTGATACTTTTTGAAAACCGTTTGATTAAATAGGGCTTTACATTGAACAGATTCAACAAAATTGTTTTTATTATTGAACACTTACGAGTCTGGATTATGAGGTTTACTATAAGTCTGTGTTGTATTCAGGCCAGCTAAAGCACTTGAGTAGGCAGCCCTTAGAATTTCTTCTTTGGTATTTTTCAAGCTTGTATTGTGATTATTGATAATCTGTTTCACTGCTTCATCCCGTTCTTTTAGGTCAGCTCGTAGTTTTTCTTCCTCTGCAAGTCTTTTCTTTTCCTGAAAAAGAAAAAAAAGATTCTTTTGAGTTAAACAATATTAAACTAAGACAATAGGTATGAGACTTTCTTTCCATTAGAGCATTTTTTAATTAAAAGTCTTTATCATCTTCTGAATTATCATAAAGAATTTCATATGTAACGTTAAAATTCTACTCGATAATGAAGATATTGTATTCTTATTATAATAATAGTTAAGTATTCACAACATCAAGTTCTGATGCTAAAATATGGTAAGGTCACAAAAAATATTCTCATCAACGAGGTAGGGCCTATTTCTCCCTAAATAATAGTTTTCACTCACAGAGGCAAAATCTGAAAGTTGTTTAATTTGTAGGGAATTTGAACATTAATTAGCCTAAATAATACACACTATAAAGATTTTATAATAACTTTATCCATTTCCATAAAATCAAATTATTCAGTGCTATAATGTTGTTGAAGATAGTTTTGATATACTAAGTATGGCATATTTGAATAAATTCTACATTGAAGGACATCCTTAAGTAACATGAATTGTATCTGAAGGACATATAATGTGTAATGTTATGAAGGACAAAATGTAGCTTTGTCTTCCAATAGAATTATAGTTTTGTCATTCATCATTTCTCCAATGCATTATAAAAACTCAATAACCCCAATGTTCACTTGTATCAACAATTATGTATTCATCTTGGCCATGAAATAGTATATTTGGTAATATCATCTATTCATCAACCCATGTAACAATTCAAAACAATACAACTATAAAACATTTCATTTATGACTCTGTGAGTGAAAATTATGACAAACATTACAACTATAAAACATTTCATTTATGCCTAGGTGAGTGAAAATTATGACAAATTTAAAAAAAAAAAAAAATTGTATTTTTACCAGCTCCTTGATCTTTTCCATTCTTTCTTTTAATAGCTTGTCTTTTTGTTTCTTCTGTTCTAATGCTTGCTTTTCTTTTGCAGCTTTCTCCAGAGCCATTTGTTTTTCCCTGGGGATGAGAATAATCAATAATTTTTTTTTAATGTTACAGCTACAGAAATCATTATCATGTTTTTTTTTTATCTTGTTCCTTCTTGAAATTTAGTAATTTTCTTTCAAAGGAAAATGAACTTGATATTTCTGGGAACAAATACTGTACAGTTCGGAGAGTTACAATATTCAGGAATGTTGTAAAACATACCTAAGAATTTGTATGGCCTAAAGTTTCTTGAAAAAAAACAAAAAACTAAATAATATTCAGTGTCTTTAAAATTGATCACCAAATATTATTGTCATAATGACATTGTATGAACTATTCACTGCTGGACTGCTAGCAACCAACAATCAGTCAAATAGTATTGTGTTTTCTTGATCGTGAAGAAACTTCAGCAAACCTTTCTTCTCTGATCTTTTGTTGTTCCTTTGCCTTTTCCTCCTCTCTCGCTTCTCTTTCTTCCTGTCTTTCCTTATCTAAAGCTGCCATTGCTGCCACCCTTTCTTCATACTTTCTTTTTTCTTCTGCTACTTTCTTCTGTCTTTCCTGTTCCTCAAAATCTTTCTTCCTTATCATCACCTCCTTTAACATTCTATTTTCTTCCTCCTGGTAAAGAATTATCAATAAAATTCTTGAATGTTGATTTAAGATTTACAAAAAACCAAACATTTTCATGCTTTTGTAAAGGATTTCTTCATTAATATTCAATAGTTAAATTGACCACAAGATCAACCATGGAGAGACCATAGGCAGGATGCATTAGATTTCAAACATAATTTCAGTAAACATCTAAACACATAATTAGCAATCTTTCGAAGAAAAAAAAATCCCAAACAAATAATAATTTATTTTGTTCAAGATTTCATCATTTCTTAAATTAGATATTTTAAAAAAAGTAAAAAAAATTGAAAAGTTTACAATTTAGACCGTTTGATATTCAAAATCAATTGCTGCATCAATTTTCTGATTTTGACTCTGATTTATAAGTCATGATTCATAAAATTTATTCCAAAACATACATAGTAAAATGCATCTGAAATGTTCAGAAACACAAAGTATGAAATTATAATAAGGTAGTGTTTGCACTTTTCCACTCTTTTAAATACCTGAAGTTGTATTTTCTGCTGTCGTTCATCTTCCTCTTTTTTTCTTCTTTCTTCTGCCTCATACAACTTCTTCACTCTATTAAAATGAAATCAAATCTTTAGAGGCTACTGAATTCTTATATGTTGAAGGAAATAAACAGTAATTTGACTCAATTTAAAAAATCAACAAAGGAGTAGGTTCAGTAAGATCCCTTTCTGGCCCCAAAATATAGCAGTTTTACAAAATTGTTCAAATGTAAACTTTTAGCTATTTATTGGAAAGTAGAATACTTCTGTTACATAAATATGGGCTGTTTTTGACAATACAATGCACATGTATCGGGTAGTAGCATCATTAAGACATGCTAAATTCTTCACAATTTTAGCATTTGAGTTAATTTTTAGACGGTTTCCGTCTTAAATGGAAGTGGCCGCATTCGTGTTCATTCTTAATATTTAAATGTAAGTTGTATTAGATGATAATACATAACATATATGTAATGTTGAGGAAGAACACAGATGAGGCCACTTTCATTTTTGACAAAAACCATCTGAAAAGTGACATATTATGGCATATTTGATAGATTTTTAATATTTACCGTAGAAAGGCTTGTATAGTTCGCAGTGGTACATAGTCCGCACCCCCTTCTCCCCACGAAATTTTAGGAAAAAAAACTTTTTGTAACTGTTAGAAAAGGTCTAATGAAACTCCGGTAATTTCAAATCCTGTGCGGTCGTTTGCGGTATTTTCTTGGAAAAACCTGTTTTCCATCATCAAACAGAAGCTGAAACTGCTTGTTAATGATTCTAGAACGCTTCATGATTGTTAAAATAAGTTTAATTCACTTAAAAAACAATTTAGAAACTTGTGTATGTTTAAACAGGAAGTTTAAAAAGCACGTGTAAAAGAAGAAATTAACCGGTGAGAGTCGAAATCCGTACATAACAGATATCACTATAATACGACTTTGAAAGCAAAACAGTTCCATCCTTTTGTAAAACAGTCTTTAATATATCTATCACATTAATGTTTGAAGGGTCTTAAGCTAATACAAACCATATTAGTCAGTATGAAACACCAAAACGGAACGAACAATAACCGATTTCGTTTTGTAGTTTACAAATTCTAAGCTGGTTTACGGTTGTCTTTTTCACTATGTTTGTATCGTTTCAATCGAGCAGATACCAGTTTATTTCAACCAATGCATTGAAAAGAAACGAGAAATTTGTAATGAAAGGTTTAGTTTTTATATTTATCAGTATTAATTTGATATTGAATAGAAATAACTTATTAATATGGATGAGTTAAAATTATTAGTTTGAAAAATGATAAGAGCGCCCTCTACAATAGAAATAACAAAGATGGCGGAACATAAACAAACCACCTCGACCGCGAAATTGAAATTTTTCTCTTATTTCTTGCTTATTGTACTCTATAGTCCGCACCCCGTCTGGAAGGTCCAATTTTGGAGAATAAAACCGCGGACTATACAAGCCTTTCTACGGTAAGCTTGAATTTGAGCGTCTTTAATGACTAAATCAGTTCCAATTTTTCACTTAAACTAATGGAATCTACTAAAGTAGACACTTGAGTGTTTAAAAACTTTCCAATATCTTTCATCAGATGAACCTGAAGTTTAAGGCTAAAATCGGCCCTTACCGGACCTACTCCTTTAATTTTTCTATTCATAGATGATTTTCAGATTAAGAATTTTCTTATTAAATAACTCTATTAATAAAGAATGAAACCAACATTATTTCACCTTTGCACAATGAGCTTGAAGAGAATGAATAGAAAATTTGCTGTGCTGTCTTGACTATATACAATGTTGTGATACCCCCCCTCTTTCTGACATACACATTGGCAATATTGTCATTATAGCCCCTTCCATTATTTTATTTTGAGAGACCATTATTGAAACACTGCAAGGCCTTTATTATTTCGTCATATGATCTTCTGTACCTCAAGTGCTGTTTTTCTTGGTCTTCTTTTGCCTTTTCTTCTTTTTGTTTTTCAGTTAGATGTCTCTTTTCTTCTAATTTCTTCATTAACTTTTCTCTAATTTCTTGGTCTCGCTTGGCTTTCTGTTCTCTTGCGTCAGCAACTTTCTTCATCTTTTCATCATTTTTCCTACAAAGCAATAAAAGACTTAAGACGAAGGAATGGATACTAAGCTGAATAATTTCAGAATTTTCTATGCAACATGTCAAACTGGACTATGGTATATAAAACCTCTAGTAATTAGTAGTTCTGTCGATGCCAGATAAGGTGATCAAATATCATATTGAAGGGTGATGACAAGTCCTTGAAGAAAATTTTAGGAATTAAAAAAACATACATGATTTGTACAACTAAATAACTTAAAAAGTATAATTCTACAAAGAAATTAGCAATCAGCCCTTGAAAATAAATAGAATTTTTAATTATCTTTTTATGAAATAAGTGGACACAGATGATGCCCCCCCCCCCCTTTACAAATTACGTTATAAAGGGACATAATTAAAGAGAGGTAAAAGTGACGCAACCCAAATTCAAACTTGATCTGTGTTTTGTGGTAATTAGCATTGTGTATAAGTTTTATAACATTTGGTTGATGCAACCCAAAGTTAAAGAACAGAAACTAACTTTGGGACATACAGACAAGGACAACACTTAATGCCCCCTACATGTGGCAGGGGCATAAAAATAGAAAACAATCTGTTCTTTTAAATTGTTAACTCAAATATTCTAATCACAAAAAAAGACCACAAATCATGTTTTATTTCTGATATTGTTGCTATGTTTAATACTTTGGATAGGGTTTTAGAACTTCAGTAAAAATAATTTTTGTGTCTGTATGATGTTATCCTGACTTATCAGGAAAAGTTGGTTAACTGGAACGCCACAGTTAATAACTAGTAAACAATTTACACTAATGTTCCAAAAATCCACTGCAAATCTGAAAGCATTGCCAAAAAAGTCTGGACTAGTACAATTTTTATATAATTTTCATAGGTCAAGGGTCATAATCATACCAAAAATCAGTCCACAGGAACAAAACAGAATGACAGTAATTGGTAACACTATATGCATTGCCTGCATAGTTGAAGGGGGCACACAATTAAAAAAAATATGACTACAGAAGATAAAATAAAACTCAACAAAAACTTGCAGAAAATAAAAAAAAAATAGAAGAAAATATACAAGTGGATAATTAACATACTTTCTTTGTTCTTCTATCTTCTGTTGCATCTCAATTTGTCTTCTTTGTAATCTTTCCTGCTCTTTTCTCTCTTTCTCCAAAAGTTCTCTTTTTCTTTGCTCGTGTGCTTGCTGTAATATTGTATATATAGTAAAAATGTTTGATATTATAAATAATTTCTTACAACATTTTAACAATGATACAATAAAATGTTTATTGGCTTTTGGTGAGTTATATAAGCATGAGATATGATGGGAATACATTATTGAGCCACCCAACCACAAAAATAGTCTTCAACAGTAGGCATGCATCTATTCAATATGCCAAACTCTAAATCTAAACAGAAACAATCACAGATCTGCCATCAGCGTAAAATTTCCCAAATATTAAACACCAAATATATACTGTGGATTCATTATTATTTGTGGAATTCCAATTTTTGTTGATTTCATGAACCATGAATTTAAATGTTTTACGACAAACAAATTTTCTATATAACTACATTTTTTACTCAATCCAGTCTGTGCCAAATTCTTTTGGTTTCTGTCTGATATTCCGTCAGACAGTGTTGTAGGTTTTGTCTGATTGAACAGATTTTTGTCTGTCCGAAAAAAACAAAAAAAACAAGTGAAACTGCGAGCTACTGCTCACTGATGATACCCCAGCCCAAATATGCATTTGTTGTTGAGTGATGAATCTGAAAACGCTTCACACAGTATAGCCGACTTATATAAACACTGAAACCAAATTTCAGAAATCCTTATGATGTAGTTCCTGAGTAAGATGCGACGAAAAATATTCATTGGACTGACGGATGGATGAACATGCAGACAGAGGTAAAACAGTGTACCCCCACTTTTTTCAAGCGGGGGTATAAAAATCAATTAATACAGCTTATAGGGTTGTTTATGTTCTAAATGTACTGTGTTGTTTTATGATGATATTCATGATAAAAATTGCATTTCAAGAAAGCAGTTGATAAATTCTATTAAATAAAAATAATTGTTATACATGTATATATATCATGTATATATTAGAGTTTATTTTATGACTCTGACAGGAACATTTTAAATTAGAGCAGCCTGTGATGAAAGTGTTTTGGATTCTCAAATTTTGAGATACATTTGCGCTGTTTCCATAACGACTTGTGCAAACTTCAGCCATGGTCTTTTGACCTTCCATTCAATATTGAATTTTCTCTCTGGTCTGTCCTCCTCACTTTTTGTCATGATCGCTTCCTTCGTCAGTCACAATACATTTCAAGGGCTTACTGGGGATAGCACCTTGAACATACTAGTAAACATTTTACCCCGAAGTTTTCATTTCTATCGATATGTGTGCATGCATATCAAAATACAATAAAAAGTCACAGAACCGAGACAGTGAAAACACCAGACATATGATTTGACGGACCTACGTCTATTTCATCGATCAGGTCCGTCAGACCGACGGTGTTTTAATTTTGATTAGTGGACTGACAAAAGTTAAATTACTGTGAAGCGTATAATAAATGATACTGCAACCCATCAATAGCAAGAAACAATAAAATTCTCTTTAATAAAGCATTATTTAAGCCCATTACTTTTAACAGGTGTATTTTACTCATCTTCAAGCAATAGTGATGTCCTCGATCACTTAGCTCTCTCCATGCTGTACATATAGATGGACAAAAATATATAATAAAATATGATGATTTACATTTTAGGCATGCAATATCAGTGATACATACCTTTGGTGTTAATTTTTTAACAGGACTGTTTCTCTTAATGAAAGACTTGACAATGCCTGGCTTGTTAGAAAGAACTACTTTAGTGCTAAGATTATGCTGGAAGGTCTTGATATTTGGCTTAGGTCTAATCACCTGTAAGAATAAAGAACAAATTAAGATTATGCTGGAAGGTTTTGATATTTGGTTTAGGTATAATCACTTGTAAGAATAAAGAACTACTTTAGTGCTTAGATTATGCTAGAAGGTTTTGATATTTGGTCTAATAGCCTGTAAGAATAAAGTATATTCTATGGTCTCTGGTGGAGAGTTGTCTCATTGGCAATCATACCGTGTCTTCTTTTTTTTATATATAATTATCACTTTTTATGGCCTGTCATAACTAAAGAAAACATGAAGCTACAGAAATTGGGGATAAATATTTTTTTTACTCTTTATTATTCAAATTAAAAATAGAATTGTTTTCCCACAAAATAGATGGTCTTCCAACAATATGATTATCATAAGTTAACATGTGGTGTATTTGTCAAAGGCACAGCAACAGAATACTAAAACTAGATATGGACAATGCCCTACCACCCTTAAAGGCTTTTCTGCTCTGCCATATGCATGAGTTTAGTTCCACATATTTTAGATTTGACAAAGAGTGATGTTAGCATACAACTTGAAATTGTTAAGCTGTCTGTAAGACACAAATGATGCCCCCGCCTGACCATAGGAAATTATTAAATTAACACTATGTATGATGATGTAACTGTAGGAGGAGATAGCCGGACAAACCATGATCTCTTTATGCAGCTAGTACCAAAAAAATAAGTCCAACTACCTGTCACTTTCAGAATATTTGAAAAAAATCAAAATCCTGTGGCCATGCACACCTTCATTATGTGTATGAACAACCTACAAAATATTAAAGTTGTACCTCCAAAACTAGGAGGAGATATCCAGACAAACAATGTATCCTTTTTTTTTTAAAAATTGATCATCTACAAGAAAATCATATAAGCCCATGAATGGTTGCAGATTAAAATGAGCAAAATGTAAATGAAATTCTTATGCTTAAAAACACTAATTTAATACATTAGGGTTTAAAAAAAACTTCTGGTTTAATTCCGTTAGTTTTCATCTGGTTAGGTGTTAATATGAATAAAAGAAGATTTTGGGCATATATCAACGAGACAGCATATTCCATTGCTGTCTTTTAATTTGATATCTTACCTTGTCTTTAGGGCAAACTGGAGAATCATAGTCACTGCTACTGCTGGCACATTCCCTAAAATGACAAAGTTAAAGTCCACAAATCTTAAATAATTATTCAACACTCTATTTATAAAGCAATGTAGTCTACCAAGAGAAATTCAAGAAAAGTAAAAATATGACTTTTCTACTTTTACAAGCAAAAAAATCTAAATGTCTAAAGGATATAACTCTACCTCCAAAGTAATTTATCTGTTATTTATACTAGTCAGAGCCTACAAATTAGAGTCAGTCAAGTGACCGGATAGACACTTATTTTTTTTTGCCTCAATACACAATATATAACTAGTTATGGAAAAGGTTTTTATGGTGAAGATGATGAGGATTAAATTTCGGAAAGAGACAAAGACTTTTTTCTGGAGTGTTTTTTGAGAGAATAAATGTTGAATAAATTATTTTGAAAACATAAAATTTCAAAAGCCCTAAAATTCTTCCATACTTGTTAGGCCTGTAAAATAAAATCAGAGCTCATGGTTTATCAGGCACTACAGGACCAGTTGGTTTGTGGTCTAAAATAAAATTTTCGTGAAGGCTGCTAACAAAGACTAACATACAGTCCAGATTCTTGGTAAAAACGAATTGATTTTAATGTAGTTAATAAAAGAGTTTGAACAACACATGTGTCTTTTTAAGTAATCCAATTACAAGAAATCCAATGTTCTTTATTATAACATGAAATCTGCCAATCAGGTCAGGCAGGACAAAAATATTTTAACACACTGTATCTTGGGTTGATCAGGAAATTTTCAAACAAGAATTGCATATAACCTTCTTTCTCATACTTACTCATCAGTAAACTGTTTTGTTTCATCTGAAAATAAGACAAAATTAAGATTGATAATAGCTGTTAATATAAAATACATGTTCTGTCTCTTTTTTTTAGCCTAAGTCCGTGCAGTTTTGAAATTAATGTATCTAAAGTATCTCTAATCTTAATTTTGAACAATATTGTTTTGAAATATTTTACAAAAAAAAAAAAATATCCAAAACAAATGGAACAGTATCAGTTTTGCCACTTGGACTTAGGAAGAGTTAAGAATAAAAGCTTTGCGCTGAATTTACAAAATTTTAAGTTATATTTACCTTGTTTCCCTGACATAAAGGTACTATTACTGATAGGTAAACCAACAGACATATCTGAAATCTAAAACATAGAAATCGGCTGTAGTACCCAAGTATGTTAATCTGTTCTATTAATTCAAAGGCATCATTTCACAAGAATATGTGACAGTGCCCATATGACATCACGCCTCACTTACAATGTGACAGTGCCCATATGACATCACGCCCCACTTACAATGTGACAGTGCCCATATGACATCACGCCTCACTTACAATGTGACAGTGCCCATATGACATCACGCCTCACTTACAATGTGACAGTGCCCATATGACATCACGCCTCACTTACAATGTGACAGTGCCCATATGACATCACGCCTCACTTACAATGTGACAGTGCCCATATGACATCACGCCTCACTTACAATGTGACAGTGCCCATATGACATCACGCCCCACTTACAATGTGACAGTGCCCATATGACATCACGCCTCACTTACAATGTGACAGTGCCCATATGACATCACGCCCCACTTACAATGTGACAGTGCCCATATGACATCACGCCTCACTTACAATGTGACAGTGCCCATATGACATCACGCCCCACTTACAATGTGACAGTGCCCATATGACATCACGCCTCACTTACAATGTGACAGTGCCCATATGACATCACGCCCCACTTACAATGTGACAGTGCCCATATGACATCACACCCCACTTACACTGTCACAATTGCAAGTTCAGTGAAACATGAAATTTGGGTTAAAGAATAAGTTTGCATATAATTTAAATAGTTCACTTCATAATTAACATGTGTACCAAGATTTAAGTTGATGCGACCACAAAAAGTACATTAAACTTGAACCTGATAAAGGACAGATGGACTTACAGATACACAGAACAGAAAACTAAATGTCCCCATACTATTGTAGACGAGGCATAAAAAATAACTTATATTAACAATGTTCTAATTCAATGATTTCTAGTAAAAATATTAGGTCAAAGATTACCTAATTAGAGGAAATCACTACATGTATATACATATATATGCATTAATTTCATCATTCAATTAATGACTAGTCTGTTTATACACAAGGACCTGGATCCAGATGCAGCAATTCATGACATACACAATGTATTGATACAAATACACATCTTTTACAATATTTATAAGATCCTTTCTATTAATCCTTTAAAGATATTTGTTCTTATGTTGAGCACATTTATTGAGGAAAGTTAAGTTGCTGATTGGGAAAATTCTAAATTTGCTGTTCACCTATTACTGTACGTTAAGCAGGATTTCAATGCATAAACTTTTTGTGCTAGGGTTAAAATATGTGCTGCAAATGACAAGTTTATGCAATTGCAAAATAAGTGAACATAACTCCTGCAGGATAATTTAAATGTTGACAGTTTCGTCTACTAAATAAACTTACATCGTTTTGATCCAGACAACTTTTTTTTGATATAGACATATCTGCTTCATCATCTGACAACACTCTCTTTTTGGTTTTTGTTCTAAAAATCATCAAACAATATATATATAATATTCAGACACAAAAATGCTTTTTTAACAAGCTTCAGTTTAAATCACTATTAGTGTTATACCTATACATGTAAAACCTATATCAAATTATTTCTAGAATTGGAAAAACTTTTATAAACACCAAACATGATGTTCATATTGTTACATGTATGTATAATTTCAAAGTATCGGCAGAAAGAAGTCAAACATTGCATATCATTCACACAACTCATTTTTTTATTAATTATTATTAAGGCACAGATATGTACACGCCATGATTTTTTTTTAAGTGAAACAGTAACATTGCAAAGTTTCTGCAAACAACAAATCTGAAAATAACTTGCAATATACATGTACAACTCAACACTTTATATCCCCAGACTAAATGCATGTAACGTTTTTATAAGAAATAAAAAGCTGAGTATTTTATCAATGTGCATGTATAAAGTAAGAAAGGTTTCAATTTGTACAGACAGATGCATAAACAAGGTTAATTAAATACAACACCCTCTCCATGAAAAAGTTATAATACCAATTCTGTATTTCTATGGAGAGGCAGCAATTGCAAGAAGTAAAACGTTTCCAAGAAAAAAAAAAAAAAGATAGTTAGAAATAAATAATTTCACTGCAGTTTCTCACAATTTCATAAAATTCGTTCAAGTCAACTTTGTTTAAACCAATCAAATGAGACCTGAACAGAGACCAGGACTATTTTTCGTGTGCACACGAAAAGTAGTATCAAATACAAATGCTGATGAAAGACTAGTATCAAATCTGAACTTAACAATACCTTGTTCTTGGTGGTGGATTTTCTGGTTTGACGAATCGTTCCTCTTTTTCACTCTGTTCATCAGAAGACATTGTCGATGATTTTGGTGGTCGCATCTTTGACCGTGTTCTTGGAATACTAGTCTCTGACTGTGATTTAGAACAGATACCAGAATCCTCATTTTCAGAGTCAACTTTACTTGAGTTCTTCTTTTGCTTTGTCCTCGTGCTGGCCCTCACAGGTTTAATGTCATTTGTAAAAGCACAATCATCTTCTGTAGTATTAGCACTTAGTCTTTGATGTTCTTTAGATTTTGGTGAATCACAATCACTGATCAACATGACTTCGTCATCACTTAAGTCAGCTGATGACTGATCCTGACCAGATTGATGTTTATTACGTGTTTTCGTTCTGGTTTTTGACACAGATTCTGTCTTGGGTTTCCTAGTTTTTGTTCTGGTACTTCGTTGTGGTTTGTCATCTTCTGACGTGTTATCAAGATCTGCAACCGATCCCTGTGATGATGTTGCTGATTTGTCTGATGCAACGGAGGAAACACTATCAGTATTCTACAGTATAAAAAATTTGCATAATTCAACAGAAAAGAGGGCAAATTAATAAACTGTTAACACAGAGATATGTCTCGCCTATTTGTTATTTTGATAATGCAAATGTTGAAATTAAAATAGCAATACTTCAACATGTAAGTTATGCAAATATTCATAGTCAATGAACCATGACTGAAGGTACAGGACTAAACAATCTCCATGGAAATGAGATGTGCCAATGCTAATACAACTGCAAACCAAATATCATTGACCTACCACTAGTGGTTCACCATAAACTAGACCTAATCACAAACTAATACATTGTTGACGACGACGCCACCGGAAACAGCATACCTATGTCTTGCTTTTTGACTCTGTCAAGGCGAGACAAAATTCCTAACATTAACGCTGAAATGACCTTTAATCATTGCACCACTGAAAAGTTGATAAATAATAAAAAAGTTGTTGTCTTGTTTTTATTGATAGATAAATGAACAATATAGAAAAAATACAGCCTCTTTTGAACACCAATATTCATACGTTTCTTGTGTGTCTAAACAAAGTTTTGCAAATACTTACTAGTGTGAATAAAATTTTTGGTAGTCAGGTGCTGACAGCATGGACTATATTTTCCACATGATAAGCTGTCTATTATTTCTTTTACTTTAGTTGTCTTTTTGTTGCTGGCTGTTCTTTGCATCTTTTATCTAACTTTTTACGGTTAGACAGTAAGGATTTTTTTAAAACTAGCTTTACGACACACAAGATTTTGTTACTTACAGCTCAAGCTATCTAGTCCATGTTTTTTCTGGGTACCACTTTTGGCTTTTTTTCCAGTCAAGCAAACAGCATTTATAGATATACATTTTTTTTATCACTGTGTAATCTTTTCAGGACTAAATTTAAGACAATTCAACCTTACAATCTTCTGATTAATAATTAATCTTGTCCATTTTCCTGTTAAAAATAATTACCTGTGAACCCTTCTTCAATCGTAGTCTTGTACGTGCACGAACAGGTTTTTCTTCTGGGCTCTGTACCTATTCAATTATAACAAGAATGTTGAACACATCACGTAGCAAAGTAGATGAAAGATGTATTTATGCTGACAAATGTCTGTCAAAAATTTACATCAATACTTATTCTGAATTAGTTTTTGGTGTCACTATGATGAAATTGGAAATTTATAAAAACAATTTGTGTTAAGGTAAATGGTTAATGTTTACTTTATCACATACAATAGTGTTATCTCCATTACACACTATGGTTATATAATAAAAACTTCAATGTCATGCAATGATGTATTTAAGTTCATAAGATACTAGATCTTCTTTTAATGTAATGTCATAAACATTTAGGCATCATACATATAGCGAAGATGCCAAATAAACAATCACCATGCAGGATTTGATCTGTTTATCTTTAAAAAAAACAAGAGTGCACACGCTGAAATGTCTCGCCTTCTTTATTAATCATTGATATTATGTTGATAGTCCTAAATATAAAGCTTTATTACAACTGTCACATAAACTTAACATTAACCAAAAAACTAAACATTGACCAATGAACCATGAAAATGAGGTCAAGGTCAGATGAACCATGCCAGGCAGACATGTACAGCTAACAATTCTTCCATACAACAAATATAGTTGACCTATTGCTTATAGTTTAAGAAAAACAGACCACAACACAAAAACTTAACACTGAGCAATGAACCGTGAAAATGAGGTCAAGGTCAAATAAAACCTGTGCGACCGACATATAAATCATAAAATATTTCCATATACCAAATATAGTTGACCTATTGCATATAGTATTAGAAAAAAAGACCAAAACTCAAAAACTTAACTTTGACCACTGAACCATGAAAATGAGGTCAAGGTCAGATGAAACCTGCCAGCTAGACATGTACACCTTACTATCATTCCATACACCAAATATTGTAGACCTATTGCATACAGTATAAGAAAAACAGACCAAAACACAAAAACTAAACTATAACCACTGAACCATGAAAATGGGGTCAAGGTCAGATGACACCTGCCAGTTGGACATGTACACCTTATAGTCCTTCCATACACCGAATATACAAGACCTATTGCTTATAGTATCTGAGATATGGACTTGACCACTAAAACTTAACCTTGTTCACTGATCCATGAAATGAGGTCGAGGTCAAGTGAAAACTGTCTGACGGGGATGAGGACCTTGTAAGGTACGCACATACCAAATATAGTTATCCTATTACTTATAATAAGAGAGAATTAAACGTAACAAAAAATCTGAACTTTTTTTTCAAGTAGTCACTGAACCATGAAAATGAGGTCAAGGACATTGGACATGTGACTGACGGAACCTTCGTAACATGAGGCATCTATATACAAAGTATGAAGCATCCAGGTCTTCTAGCTTCTAAAATATAAAGCTTTTAAAAAGTTAGCTAACGCCGCCGCCGGATCACTATCCCTATGTCGAGCTTTCTGCTCGACAAAAATGAAAATACTCCTGTATAGAATAAAAAAAAAAGATTGATTGCTTGGTGTTTAATGCCACTTTCATTACTATTGTGCCATTTCGTGGCGGTCAGTTTATTGGTGGAGTAAGCCGGAATGCCTGGAGAGAACAACTGACCTAAAAATAGTAAACTGTATATATATAAAGATGTATAAATCTGCTTTCCTATGCAAACTATGAAATAGTAAATTACCTTTGACTGGGACAATTCATCTGAAGATTCTGATTGTTGAAGCATTGACTGCTTGGCTGCCGTCTCTACAGCATGTAAAGCAGCCACAGACAAACGTTTAATAGAAGACAGTCTTGATGAAGAATTCAAAGTTTTACCATGTTTAAGTGATTTTCTAACACTATTTCTTGGTTTTTTATCCTGTGACTCAGAACTGTCTTTTACTATTTTTTCAGGACTCTCCTGAATGGTTTGTGTAGTGTTTGGAGTAATGGGTGTATTTTCATCAGAACGTGCTGCCTTCACAACTGTTACAGGTGTTGATGGAGCAGAAATAATCATTTCTGGTGTTTCTTGGACTATTATGTCTTTATCATTTGAGAATTGAGGTGTTTCTGTCTCATGCGCATTATCTATCTGAGGACCTTTGGGGGTTTCCGTCTCCTGCGCATAATCAATCTGAGGACCTTTGCAGGGAGTTTCTGTATCCATATCACACACTTTGTCTGTCAACAGTGTTACACTATTCACTTTATTAATAGGTGTCAAATTTGTATCTGCATTTTCAGGATTTATTGAATATTCTTTTACAGGCGTTCTGCTTTCAGCCATCTGTGATTCTATTTGTTTTGTGAACGACATAACTGGTTCTTTAGTTGTTTCTGTTTTTATCTTCACATTTTTTGTGGTGCGGGTGTTCCTTTTTGGTCTGGCAGTGGTGGCAGTCCTTGATGTGGCTCTTGTTCTGTATGACCTGTTTGGTGGAGAGCTCAAACAGTTCTCTTCCACGTCAGCTTCCTCACCATCATCAAGTTTTAGACTTTAAAAGGAAAAAAGAATTAAGCAAAATGATCTACATTTAAGAGAGCACATGAAATATAATGCTGGCTTTATTGATCATGATTGAAAATAATGTTGAAAAGTGTTAAAGATCAAGATTTTACTAAAGATATTCCATAAATTTATCATAACATCCAAGAAAAAAATAAGGTCAAGACAATGTTAACCCTGCCAAATTTACATGTACACCCTACAATAATTATATACACCAAATATAGTTGACCTTCTGATTACTGTATCTGAGAAAAAGGCCCAATCATGAAAAATTAACATTGATTCAACCATGTAAATGAGATAAAGGTCAGAAGATCCCTATCAGACAGACATGCACACCTTAAAATCATTCTATACATCAAATATAGTTGACCATCTGCTTAAAACATAAAGAGAAAAGGACTTAATCACACAAACTCAACATTGACAGATGAACAATGAACATGAGCAGGCATTACAACTAGTCTATTATATATTAATTCAAATATTTTATTAACCTTTGTCTTTTTGAAGCTGGCTCAAACACGTCCTCAGAATCTGAAAATTTAGTTGGTCTTTTTGCTTTTCTCCCTCTCTTCTGTGAAGGTGTTTTTGGTAACAGCTGTATCTCAGGCCTGCAAAAAATAATGATTTCTTATCAACATTAACTTACAATAAAAAAGGATTTGAGTAAGATAAAGTATCCAAATTTCGTATTAGTTATATATATATTTTTTTAAACTTTGATATTTTTATTTGTTTCTGGCAAAAAAAAAAAAGAAAACATTTGCCAACCCATACTGAGCAGTTTTGCAAGGTTTTGGTATTGACATTTTTCTAGAAATATTTTCACATAAACTGTCTTTAAAGGTACATTCTGAAATCAATATATAAAATGTATGCATTATCATTCAAGACTCTTTAAAATGTATACAATAAACATGGTTCCCAAATTAACTTAACATCAATAAAAAATTGCTCAGTTTTACACAATACTTGTTAACAACTTTCAGCATTAAGCTAGCAGTTAATCAAAAATAACATCACTATCAAGAACAGTATAAGTGGAAATATAATTTGCCCAATTTTCAGTGAAACTTCTACCGAAAAAGAAGCCTTGCAGGCAGATAGATGACCCTAAAAATATACTGGCCCGTTGTGAAAATAAGTGGTTACGGGCCAGAGGACAACCACTTATTTCAAATCCTGGAATAAAAATAACCAAAATCAGTTATATTCCTGATAAAAATCATCCCTGCTTTACAAAAAAAAAACCCAAAAAAAACAAGATGTTTCAGCAAGGTCCATATGCCATGCAAATGCTGACAACAATTTGGATAAATTTCAATACTTTTGTCTGACAGTCTTCACACTAAACCACAGGCCCAGCAGCCCAGGCTTGTAAAATTGCTCTCGGGCCTGTAATATCATATCTACAGGCCAACAGAATCTAACTAAAATTTTCCAAAAAATTGAGCTGCGGGCCTGTAGATCTTCAAGTTCATCGTGAAGACTAACTTCACTTCTGTTTCATTTGAAACCAACATCTTATCTTTCTTATTTTTGTAAATTTGTAACTTGGGGCTATGCATTTTTGAGTAAAATCTTATAGTCCTTTTTCAAACCTTAACCATTAAAAGTTGATTGCATTATTTCAATAGGGGTCAAGACTCAAGGGGACAAGCACCTAAAATAGATAAATTAATAATTGGTTGGTGGTATGTAGCAAAAATTCTTTCCCAACATTTAATAGAATTTTGAAATTTTATGGTGTGGGAGGTAGGGATTTCAATAAATGCATCATAATGTGTAACACTGAATTTTAAACAACGCTTACCCAACAGCCAACAAACCTGAATAATATAATTTTCTTCCTAAATTAGTTTGCTTTGAAATGGTAAATTTTATATTACTTACTTGCTTCCATTCAATCAAACTTACTTTGCAAACGTCTTCTTACATTCAAACAACAGTTCATGCAACCAGTCCATTTCTTTATCAAATTCAGCCAAGGCATCATTGACTTTAGCATTTATTGAATCCAAAGCGGAAAATCCTAGGTTGTGTGGATACATTGTATCACCCGACTTCTTCTTGTCTGCCTTCTTACCTTTCATCTGAAACAAAAAAGAATATTTTATAAGTGTCCTAAGATGGACAAGATAAGTTTTAATTATATAAAATTGGGCATTTACAAATCAACAATTTATTTGCATGAAGACAGTTTTTCCTATAAAATTTTGATGTCACATCTTTAATGTTGGTTAAAAGCTCAATAAAGCTTATGTTATGTCCTTGATTGTATACTATGACGACTCTAAATCAAGTTTATTTATTATTATTATTTATCTATAACACTAGAAAATGTCAGACGTCACATGGAAAAGTGATTGTTGTTCAAGTGTCGCAGATTAACAAAGAGCAATAAGGTCTATTCAAACATTTCTCTTGTCAATCTTGAATAATATACAATAATTTGTGTAATTTCAACTTCAAAATGACTTATTTCTGCAATTTTTTTTCAAGTTGTCTTCATAAAAATAGACTTTTTTTCATTGCATAAATTATATAGACCTTGTCGCTATTTGGAAATCTGTGACACTTGAACTATTGACGTCATATTACAATCACTTTTCCTGTATGGCGTCAGACATTTTCTAATGACTAATGTGACGTCAAAATTTTACGGTAACCTTTGAGATGTCCAGTACAAAAGTTCCCGTAAAATTTTGATGTCACAGTAGAAAATAACTGACGCCACAATCATGACAATGGAAAAGTGATTTATATATGTCATCAATAGTTCAAGACAACTGGCACAGATCTCCAAATAGCAATAGGGTATATTGTAAACTTACAATGTAAATGTACGCGTTACATTCTAAGAGATTAAATATGCCCAGGTGAATTAGGGTTCTTTAAGTATCTTCTATTATTAAATACAGGGCGAACAAACTCAATTCTAGTCCAAATAATTATGATGACTAGAAAGGCTTTTTCATTTTCTTGTTAGTGACGTCTACCTTCAAGTTCAAAGGAAGGCATTTCAGAAAAAAAATTAAATAGCCTTTCAAGACCTTAAATAGCAGTGGAACCATATGGTATGCAAATAGTCAAAAATATCATATGGACAAAGGAGCTACAGTTTTCCAGCTACAGACCTAAAGAGTCATAATTATTTGGACTAACCCAACACCAAAAATGGCAAAATAACACCCATCTCAGTAATGCATTAAATTATGGATAGAAAGAAGTGTGGAACAGTTTAAGATTTGCATTCTTACCTTAAGAAACAAGATTTCTATATTGTTATAATGCGGATTGAAAAGTTTATATGGTTCTCAGTGATAGTACAAACATTTTGAATTTTTGTAGAAATTATTCGCTGCCAGAAAATTTTATTTGTATCAAGATTATTAAAATTTGTCATTTTTTTAAGTATTTAAAGATGAAACCTCATTTTTATGAAATTGCGTTTGTTTTTTGCAGTTACTGATTTAAAAGATATATAACTTTATAGTTAATCTTCTAATCTACATGACTTTCTTGTTTAATTTTTACCCTGTTGTCGATAGACAACTTCCCTCGGAAATTTTAAATAATTAGAAATATTTTGTCCAATCAAATCGGTTTATTTATAGCAAAGCTATCAACAAATATTTCCGAATATATTTATTTGCACTAGAAAAGTATATTATCTGCGTAACTTTAAAATAAAAATGAAGTTGTATATTTTAAAAAAGATAAAAATACAAAATTTCATCATTTAAATAAATTTTTACGAAAATAAGTTTCATAGCTTAACTCATGGAATATACTTCCGTCATCTTTACCACAGAAAAACAACCCACTCACAAAAAATATGTCAAAAGCAAGCGATTCAAACAATACTAGCCAAAGTTATAAATTGGTTGTAGTAGGTGGAGGTGGTGTTGGGAAAAGTGCCTTAACCATACAATTTATACAGGTGATTATGGCAGTATAATTTAAGCACAAGATCAGTGCAACCATTTGTAAACATTGAAACCACCTAACCAATTCATGCAATGTATGTTACACATAGTATATTAATTCTAATGTATATTCAGTTATCCAATGAGTTTGTTGTTAGAACAATGATGAAAACGAATATATAAGAGTTAGAGTAGCTAAAGATAGACACATAATCTGCATAATTTGCACAGTCTTTGGGATTTCTTGCAGAAAATCCATTCCTTAAAACTACCTTTGCCAACACAAAAGCATGCACCTTATTGTTATTTGTTCGTTATTTTTGGACATCACAGACTTTACCTTAAAATTTTGGAGTTACAAGGGAAAATGTCTGACATTACAAAAGCAAAGTGATTGTTGTGTGATGACAATATTTCAAGTGTTGTAAGTTCTCGTGTCAAGATTCGCAGGTTCCCAAATAGCAGCCTTTAAGGTCTATTGGAAAAAGAAACACACTAAAGTATGATACTACCATCCTTTTTGTTCTCCTTTAAGTAATATTCTTAATTTTGCTGGAACATTGAGACGCATATGTCTACTCATGAAAAAAAGATTATATTATGAACCAGATTTAAAAAGAAAAAGTTAAATGGTACATGCAGCATATTATTTAGGGTTTTACAAACAGGATTGGACCAGTCGCTCAATAGACCACTTTCGAGTTATGTCCATCGGAAAAGTTCGTCAATTATGCGGGCCTTTATGACATCATTTACTAGATAGAGGGGGTCTCCTGTATCCCTGCACTATTAAAGTTCATCAAGCGCTTTGTGATTGTCATTATGCAGGATAAACTAGAAATAATGTTTGTTCCATAGGTACTGAAGCACAATTCCCTAATGACAGCAGTGCTGATTATCAATTATAAGAATTTAATTTGTGCAATATAGCATCATATTTTTTCAACCTCTCGCTCAACATGGGAAGGAAGTGACGATGGCCCTAAATGCACGAATGATTTTCACTAAAACTGAAGTTTTTGATGGAAATGCAACAAATTCGAAAGTGGTCTATTGGGTTATTATACATGTTTGGGATTTATAATACTGTGCTAAATAAAATAATTTGGGGTTCAAGGGAAAATATTTTAAAGTGAAAAAAAAAAGGCAACAATTTGTGTTTAGCCAGTTTTCTGGATATCTAGTTGTTCATGAGATTAATCTTGGGAAGATTCAAGATAGTGGTTTTTAAGAGGGATCAATCTAGCAACTTATTAATCTTTTGGGAAAAGTTGCTAACCAAAAGTTGTTACTATTGACCTAAACAAATGCACTCATCAATATTTTTGCTACATAAGAATAATCATTTTTTTTTGCACTGTAAATTAATATTTCATTTGGGCTATTATATACCAAATAGATTATTATAATCCAATTAGGTGACTGGTCCCAACATGATGAATGTGGTATGGATGTGTCAATGGAAGAACCTAAAGTAAAATTATTGTCTCACAATTGGTGGAAAATTATTTATACAATTTAACAGAGAATTTCTGCTCATTTGCACAAAACACAGCAGATAACAGATTCTGTAGTAGAACACTAAAACTGGCAAAACATATTGCATAAAATGATGATTATGAATAATACAAATTGCTGACCTATAAGCAAGGATCCGGAAATTTTTCCAGACAATTTCGGTCATTTTGAGATGTTTCAAAAGTTGGTGCCCCTTTTCAAATTGTCGATATCAACTTGACTATATTCATAGCAACAATGAACATGACGAACTGGTATTGCTGTTTCATCGCATTTACTAAGTAAATGTCTTACCATTACCATGAAGGACAGTTTAGGGAATGCAACAGTCTAAAATTGAAATGATTTTAATGACTCAAAATGGTTAATTTCTCAGACATTGCTTACGTTTCGTTCGATTTGACAAAAGTTAAAACCGGAAGTTTGCGATATTTTAAAGTACGAATAATTCCGGATTCATTTTCGGGATTTGTTTTGTTTATCAAATTGACAGGAAATCACCGGCTTTTTATGGCTTTTTTATTTTATTACCTTTAAAAATGTTTGAATATAACAGATAATAGTTGCACTCGTTTAATTTAGCATGAAATCAATTTGCATTTAAATGATTTTACGATTAAATATTAAATTTGCTGAAGACAATTTCAGGCATGCGTATTACAAAGTAAATAAAGCACATGTGTTACTCATGAAAAAATACTTTTTTCTTCGTAAATTTAGATTTAATTTTTAAATCAGAATTGATGACTCTTTGATGAAAAGTAAATAAATAATGAATACACTTGTCAGGGAACTTTAATGTTTTAAAGATATTATTCTGAGCTTGTGATCACTGTCAGGTGTGAATTAAAACCACAGGTAAAAAGTGATTAGCGATCATTAGCCAATGTTTCCCAGAGGCATTGATATAGATATTAGGAGGGCCCTCAGGATTATCAAACTACTGTAGTGGCAGTTTTATTACAGGAAAGGGATTATAAACAAAAACAAGTGATCACAAGTGCAAAATGGCGATTAAGAAATCCGATTTCAAACATTGAGTCAATGAAATGACCGAAATTACTTCTGTAAAAAATAAAATTTGTCCTAAATCCCAATTACTCGTTTAGGACAAATAGTTTCATCTTAGGACATGACTGGCAAATATGACCGTTTCCGGACCCTTGCCTATAAGATACAATGTTGTCTTTTTTTTTTTATGTTCAGTGTTCTCCCCATGCCCTTAAAGGACCCAGGGCCCGCGATGTATAATTTTTTACCGTGGTGGTATCGTTCTTACCGTGATGTATAATTTTTTTCCGTGGTGCTAAAATTTTCAGTTAAAAAATCGTAAATCGGTAAAGTTTTAAACGACTTGTTAAATCTTTTCCGTGCGGTATAAAATTCCAGGTGAAATTTGACCAGTTCAAACCAGTTCAACACAGATTGTTTACATCACGTGATCGATTTACCTTATGAGGTTAACCTTGTTGATTGGATTTAATCGATGTAATTAACACTTGTAACATGATTCTTTTATGTTTTAATTAAGAGTTCATAACTTTATGATCACAGATAACTATTTTATGGCTTCACTCACCACCCAAGCACTGACCTGTGACAAGTCGGCAAATACTTTGTACACAAACAGTGTCTTGACCCGATAGGTACATTTTTTGTACATCATAAAGGTGGCTCATTACATATAATTGACAATTATACATTTCTCAATTCTTATATTATAGTATTATATGTCTCTGATTAAACCATGGCCAATATTATCTTTAATTATGACATAGTTATTGCATGATAGTCGGGTTTCAAACTGTAGTATCTGTCTGTACATATCACATGACTCAGTTATCTATATCTATATCCATAATTAATGAATAACAGAAGTAATCTTGCAAATTTTATCCATAAGCACATGTTAAATCTATTTATATCTACTTCCTGTCATTTAGGCGGGAAAATAGGGAGACTTAGTTGTTGACATTGAATATGGTTATTTATAGATCTATAGACTAAAGATAAATTTATAGATTTAGGAAAATTTTTTTAAATGGTTCATGACAAAAAAAGATTTAGATTTCAGTGCAGTATTAAGTCTGTATCTATGTTTGATTATCACCAAAGACAAGAAAGGTTAATATTTACATGAAATCTATGGCAAAATGTTCTAAAATTTATGAAAAATTTCTTTTTATTAAAATCTAAGATAGAAACTGGTTCAAATAATGAAACAATATTTGCAATTGTTCTTGTTAATTTTACATCTTCTTATGACAGGAATCCTTTCACATACAACAACTTTCTTTCTAGAAACTAGAAAGTTTTTTAAATTGAACATTTTTGTTCTCTTTTGAATGATATTTTATTTTTAATGATTTTGGATTTTATGAAAGATTTAAATACTTTAAATTCAGATAAATATTTTATTATGAATTATAATTTATTTATTTAAAAAAATATTAGGATACAAACTGTTTTTTGATTTACTTCTTTTTTACCAATAATTTTCTGACTCAATGTCTACATAACACAGTACCACAGTATTAAAACAAAACAAGAGACATAAAAACTACAGTAACTAGAAATAGAGCTAAGCGACGCGACCTGACGCGACACAACTGATTGTATGAAATATTTCACCAAGCTGTCCACACGCGTTACCCTGGTGCTATCCAAAAATCCTGGGGAGAACACTGATGTTTGTCAGCAATTTGGATGTTCCTGACATAATCTGAACTTTTCTTGACTTTCTGATTTTTATTGCTCCCTTGGTATATATCATCCTCTATTTTTCTTTTTGGCAAATCAATCTACAAAATAGAACTGGCATTTTAAATTATATTTTTAAACTTCCAATGTGCTATGTAGGTTATTCATATCTAGGTAAAAATATTCTAGAATGAACCATTTGAAATTTTCCATAGACCCTTTGAATATTATCTATGATCATATTTTTCTTACCTTTATACATTTATACAGTGTCATAATTGATATTTTTTTTTTTTTACAATTCACTTTCAAATATTTAATGAATTAATTAACTTAAAGGTTTAAGGACATGTTTGTTACCCAGAGCATTCTATATACTGTTATACTGAAAATAAGACTGCATAGTAATCTATAAGAGGCACTGAAATGACAACTGTAAAACAATTAAAACAAGAAAACTAACAGTCTGATTTATGTACAAAACAATGAACGAAAAACAAATATGATATACAGCAAGAAACAACAACCATTGAATTACAGGCACCGAACTTGGGACAGGCATATACAGAATGTTACTGGTTAAACATGTTTGCTGTTGCCAAACCCTCCTCCAAACCTTGGAAAGTGGTGAAACAGTATGACATAAGAACAAACTATAAAAATCAGTTGAGATTGGCTTTACTCATCAGATCAATACAAAACACACAAAAACCCTAACACAAACACAAAAGACACATGGTACAGATTTGAGAATACTCACAGTTAAATGTAAGCTAGTTTAAAGCCAATAACAACT